GAGAGAGAGAGAGAGAGGGGGGGGGAGAGAGCGAGAGCGAGAGAGAGAGAGAGAGAGCGAGAACGAGAAAGAGAAAGAGAAAGAGAAAGAGAAAGAGAAAGAGAAAGAGAGAGAGAGAGAGAGAAAGAGAAAGAGAAAGATAAAGAGAAAGAGAAAGAGAAAGAGACAGAGAGAGAGAGCGAGATAAAGAGAAAGAGAAAGAGCAAGAGAAAGAGAAAGAGAAAGAGATAGAGAGAAGAGAAAGACAAAGAGAAAGACAAAGCGAAAGAGAAAGCGAAAGAGAAAGAGCAAGAGAGAGCAAGAGAAAGAGCGAGCAAGAGAAGGAGAGAAAGAGAGCCAAAGCCAGAGCCGGCAACTTTGAACAAGTTTGAACCACGGCAACCACAAAAAAGGCCTTTGCTTGCTCAGCATTGCAATGAGTGGATTTGTGCGGTGGCAGCGCGAGAAGAACTGACATGAATGGAACTGATCATCATTTCTCGCTCTTTTGACATGGTCTTGCAGTTGTAAGCTGTTCCACTGAGGCGAGGATGGCTAGGCCATAAACCTTGAGCAAACGAATGCATGACAGTCTGATGCTTTTTTTAAAGGATGCGTACAAGTCGGCCATTTAAAAATGTTGCGCCTTTTCCACCAGACCAAATGTTTTTTTTTTTTTGGGGGGGGGGGTTGGGACATCGCCTGTGCTTTGAAGGCTGGGTTTTCGCAACAAGACCGAGGTCGCGTTGAGCAGCAGGCGCTTGAAGTTCACTGCAGGGGAGGTATCCTTCGATGCCGAGCTGCTGCCTGGCGACAAATATGGCTCGGGGAACCTTCCATTTCCAGACTCTTTCCACTAATTAGGCAACCAGGGAAGCCAGCATAAACCTGGAGGTATCCCTGGTTGCCTACTATAGTTCTACTAGGGAACGAATGGAAAGGAATCAACCCCTGGAAGTATGGCTCGGTCCTTTTTGAGGGTTTTACTGTTTCAAGGAGGACCCAAAGCAAGCTACGTGCGCGCTGCTGATTTCACCGGCAGCTCTTTGAATATTTGAAATATGTGGAAGACGGTGTGGGACAGCTTGGGCCAAGTACAAAGGCAAAGCTGCAACAGGTGGTTCACCCCTAAGTACCTCCTTCACCCTCCGCAGACTTCTTGAGTCAGCCTGTAGTTCGTAGCGACAGGGCTGTGGCTCAAAAAACAGAATTCCAAAATGGGTTGCCCTGGTACGTGGAATGGATCAAGACCTGCATAACCGTTTGAGCCTTTTGAGCCACACCCACAGGCCACACCTCGCATCCCCTCCCCAGGTTGGAAGAGATTGATCCTCTCCGCTATGACGTGAGCTGCAGGGACCCGGAGAGTGAGTTTACGCCCCGAGCGAAGCGCAGGGCACAACGGGAGCAAGCCCCAGATGACCCACCCCCTGCACCCCGGCCCCGGTGGCAAATAGTGTTGGGAAGCAAGATCATGTTGGGTAGAGAGTAAAGATATTGTAGATGGTGCCCAAACAGTGCCCACGAAACTTGGTCAAGGCCTTTGTTGGTCATACCCCTTGAATGACCATTTCCCCTGCGATTTGGGATACCAGCAGAACTTGATTTGCCATGATCGACGCAAGATGTGTGTGTGGGTGTGTGAAAAGCTGTTGGCACGCCGGATCCACACCGTCAGGAGTCCACACTGGAGCTTTCCTTGACCAAAGCCCAACCCGGCCACTGGAGTCGGCTGCTGCAATGAGAGAGTGCCTGGTCAGCAGATTGATTGAAGGCGCTGGCGGCCAAAGTTGCTGTTCAAGGCAAGGATCATGTGTCCAGCAAGCTGCTTCGGCCTTGCCGTACAGAAAGCAAATATCCTCACATATATATATATACACATACATATATATATATATAAACACTGCGTGTATATATATATATATATATTTCTATACACATGCATAGTTCAGAGCGGTCCTTTGACTCGAGATGTGAAGATTTGTGTGCAATTGAGCATTTGTTCACGAGCAAACGCAACAGACGCTGCGACGCTGCATCGCTGCAGGTTTGCCGGCGGTCTTCAAGAGTGCATCCTGCAGGAAAAAACGACTCGACCGCTTCTGAGACCGGAGACTCCATGCCAGCAAGACCAGTCCTCGGTTTTCCTTTGGTGTGGCCTTGAACCCAACATGACAGATTTAGGTCGGAACCAGTTTGCGGAGTCTGGCAGTGGAGCATGATTCCAAGATACTTTCAGGGATTGCAAGGTACCAGGGCATCGGTTTTGGGTGGACGGTGCCATTTTTTCCCCATGACATACCAAAACCCGGTGGCTTCCCTTTTGGTGGGCACAAGTTTCTGGGTTTTTCAGCCTTCCACAAATGGGTTTGTCTTTTTTGAAGGTGCCGTTTTAGAGGGACACCAATAGGAGTACCACCATTTTGGGGGGTCCCCCAAAAAAAAGACACCCAAAAATAAGGCGCGTCAGTGTCTCCTGTTCGCAAATCTTTCAGGCGAATAAAGCCTCAGCGCTCTACGCGGAGCAGATGGCCCATGTCTTGGAGGTGCTCCAGGAGAATCCACGCGAATCGATGGCACCGGTTGAGTCACAGCCTCAAAACCCAGTGCCCCTTGCCGCCTTGTCAGTTCTTGAAGCATGGTTGTTTAATACCCTTTGGTGCATTTCGTTTGGATGTTTGGACTTTAGCTTTTTGCCAACTAATGGGTGTTCGATTAAACTACTAAAAGTTAAACTGTTGGCAGGGGAGCAGAAAGCAACCGAGTGTACCGATCGGTTTTGAGTATGCCTCAGTTGGGATTGGTGGCTTTTAGGCTTTTCAACCATGAGGGCTTCATCCATCCCAAGTGCAGAATGTTGTCCATCCACAGCAGGTCAGCAGGGCCAGAATCAGAACTCGGCAAGGACAGATTAGTAAGATTTCAGCTTTTGCTTCTACTTGAACCAACCCAAAGGCAATGGGTTCAGCTTTAGTTCCTACTCGAACCAATCTGTAAAACGCTACCCTCCAATCACGGCCGTTTTTGAAAGCTTTGCCTCAATCATTTGCCAGTGCCACGGGCGCATTCAGAGATATGGGCCAAGCCAAAAGCGACGCTCCGCGACGCAGGACATGGAGGAGAAGTCAAGGGCCCAGCGTGCCTGGTTGCTTTACACTCAATTGCCCAAAGCCGACCTTTTAACCTTTTGGTTTTCTCGTTTTGGTCCATTTTTAGTCATGGTCCCAAAAGGTTAGCCTTTTATTTCCAGGTCCTTTGGGCAACTGAGTACAATGTAAGGGAAACCAACATGAGCCACGTGCTCAAAACCCGGATAAGCGAAGGTTAGTAAGGGACGATCCCAAGGGACGATCCCAGCCATAAATAGCTGCGGATATCCGCCTTCTTAGTTCTTGTTGGTTGTGGGTCGACCATTTTTGTACCGGGTTTTGAGTGTGACTCACATTTTGATGGGGACCCCCCCTAATTTGACACATACCCACCCATCCACCCCTGCAGTTCTTTGAGGTTAGAGAACAACAAACTAAAGCTTTCTGCAAAAAACAGTAAAAAGCCTTGGAAAACTCTGTGACGCGCCCATGTGGTTGTTAAGAGATGTTCAGAGATTCTGGCAGCTCAACTTTGGCTTCCAGCAAGCCGCATCTCAGGTTTACTGCCACGTCTTCCTTGGGAACTGCCGGCTCCAAAACCCAAAGTAGTTCGGCATCCCTGTCCTTTGGGCAAGCCAAAACAAGCGCACCTTGGGGGTGAAACGAGCTTCCCAAGGGCCCGTGGCGATTCCTCATTTCCGATTTCTGACAGATGTTATATAATTTGTGTATTATATGCATTATATATATATATATATTTATTGTGTGTGTGTTCTTTGAGGGTACCCACATGTTCTGGTTGGTTGAAAAAGGGAAACCAAAAAGACAACCTACCATTTTGGGGGGTCAACCCTAGATTGACCCATGTCCATACAGGATGGTGCCCAGTGCACGCGCAGCGACGGGCTCAAGATTTGCGAGCCCTCCGCTCTGACCTGATGCAGCCTGGCCGGTTTGGTTCGCACCTGTTGGACTTCCATGTGCTTAAGAACATGTGGCTGTGGTTGTCAAAACCGTTTTGGGATCCCATTTTAGGGGATAGGTGAATTCACCACCCATTTTAGAACCTATTTTAGTGGAGATTGGGATGTTCACTGGGGGTACGGGGTTTTGACCCATGGCCACGTGTTATGTTCCCTTGGTTTTCAATGGAATCTATCACTACTAAAAATATGTGATTTTTTTCCAGGGGCCTTAAGCAAATGGAAGTTAATCGATTTACATGTGGGAAGCCCGGAGCAACGCTTGGTTTTCCCAGCCTCATGTTGGGCAACCAAACACCGGGTTAGCGGGAGCCCAGACTTCCTGGCACCATGTGCCCCTGCAGCTTTCCGGGAGTTTGCCAACGCCGATTATTGCAAGAAAGGATGAAAGTGAAATCGCACATACGGGGCCCCATTGAGAATCGGGTACTCCAGATAGGAACCAACCGCTAGCTGCTGTTTCATTGCTAAGCATTGGCATTGCTTGCACACACTCAGGTCGGAGTGAGGCCACTTGCCAATGAAGTGCCTTGGTCAGAAATGAAAGTCATTGACCTTCCATTGCACTCCACTTTACTTCTGCTTTCTAAGAAACAAAGGAACCCGAAGCTGTGCTGTATCGCCATGATGCCTCCCTATTGGGCATGTAGAATGAAAGAACTCGATTCTTTGTGGGGCAGCTGCAGTTTGAGACTCTGTGGCCATGATGCCTCCCCAATAGCATGGGCATGTTGCAGAGAGGCTGATGTCGGTATGTGTCAAAAAAGGGCTTGGTTTCCCTCTCACTAGAGGGGTACCTTCAAGAAAGCTGGGGGTAGCTCCCAATTCGCGCGTCCCATGCTTCCGAGTCAGGTTTGTCTTCCACTTGCTGCCTCTTGCCGCAGCATGGAAGTTGAGGGCTGGAGGCAGCAATGTTGCTGAGCAGTGACGGATGCCGAATAGAGAGAGCGACAGAGAGAGAGAGAGAGAGAGAGACAGAGAGAGAGAGGGAGGGAGAAAGAGAGGGAGAGCGAAATGGGTGCGTGTCAAAGAGAGGGCTCAAAATTGTGTTGTTTCCGTTGAATTATTTGTTCAACTAGCCTTAAAAAGGGTACCCTCAAAAAGCGCACGCCGGCGCACACCCAAATGGATTGCGGGCAGTGCTCGCATGCCGGTGCCCTGAGTATCCGCGAGCTGCGATGACTGGAACTGCTCCAGCGGCTGGCTGCCGAAGCTCCAGAAGGCCCGGAGCGTTCGTGGAACTGAAGGCAGATGGAATGGAACTGTGTTGGACTTGGGTTCCAGGGTTGGTGGAAGTGCAGTGTTGGAAGTAATAATTTGATAGCACTGTATTGCAGGGTGAGTGTTCTTCTTTGGTTTGTGTTGGAATGAATCCCACTTCTGTTATACCAAGGTGAGCAATCTGAGGAGAAGGGTCTTCCGTTTTGCGTCGGAATGAGTCCCACTTCTGTGATGTCAGGGAGCCTTAATTTGGAAAACTTATTATTTGGAAGGCCTGCCATTGGTATCACAGAAAGGATGCCATTTCAGCGGGTTGCTTTGTTAGCTGTCTTTAAAGGGCAGACATACTGTGGTTTGAGACTGTCCATTTAAACAAATCCTGTATGGCTCAATTTGCAAGTTGCAGGGACACTAGAACACTGCTCGGAAAATTTTGCAGTGTGTTTGTAGTGGGGCAAAGCGGAATGTGCCATCCTAACTCAGCACTGGAATAGCACCAGGCCCGAGGTCAGCGTCCGGACATGTGGAAGGACTTTGGCCATTTCGCACCTGGCGTTCATCAACCACGCAGGGGCTCCATCAGATTTGCATATTTGGTTCGGCAGACAGAGGACTCAACAGATTCAGGGCTCACTTTTCGGATTTCAAGACTTTGTACTTTGTTGTGGTAAGACATGTGTGGTAAACAAAGATTTCTAACCTTTCTTTGGCCAATCTCCTCACGAAGAAGGCCTTTCCAGATCTGTGGTAGAGTGTTGTTGGTCACACCAAGAGGCTTCTTGAAACATTTCAGCCTGTTTCTGACCTGCTTCGAACATGTGTGCTTGTGTTTGTCTGCCTGCCTACCTGGCTGTGTGCTTGTGTTTGTCTGTTTGTCAGTCTGTCTTTCCGGCTGTCGTTTGTTAGTCTGTTTGTTTGTCTGTCTGAGTGAGTGAGTGAGGGTGCATGCGTGCGTGTGCGTGCGAGCGCATTGTAGGCGCTGACCGGTGCCAGCAACAAGGACTGCTTGGTGGAATTAGCTTTCTTTGCCCAGGGTTCCCCTTTTTGGCGGTATTTTTGAAGGGACACCGAAAGGAAAACTGTGTGATTGAGAGCGTAGGCGCTGACCGGTGCCAGTAAAGGACGGCGTAGGATGGGTTCTCTCACTGTTTGGGTATGTGGTAAAGGGAAACACAAAGGAAACTAAGCAGTGTTTTTGGGTTCCCTATTCTAACGACACACCCCCATATTTCCCCTGGTTTTAGCAGAAGTGAGTCGGTTTTGTGTAGGGAAACGTGGGAACCTTGCTGGCGGCCTGCAAATTTTACCTCGAAGCCTTGCAAGCAGTCAAGATGTGAATGAAGATGTGAATTTAAACTCGATGCCTTATTCTGTTTGGGCACCCTCAGCAAAATCACCACCTGGGTCTGTCTCAAAACGGGATCGTTTTTTTGGATGGAACCAGTTTTGGGGGTCCCCTATTTTGACACCCCCTCCCAACCGTGCCTGGCTGAATGGCCAGGAGTGCTGTGTGGCCACCTGTAGGGTGCACACCTGCAGCGATGGCTACACTGCCAACCCCTCCTACGTGGGCAACACAGGCGACATGGGATCTGCCAGACATGTGGGTATGGATCAAAATTAAACCATCAGGGGACCGCAGGTTTTAGTCTTTGTTTCCAATTAGCAGGGTTCTATTCTGGGTACCTATTTTTGACCCACACCCATGTGAAGAGTCTGAACATGCTTCGGGAGCACACCCCCAGTTGGTCAGGAAAACGGTTTCTACTAAACAGATTCCGAGCGCTTGTGCCAAAGGACGCGAGTGTAGCATCCGAAAGGAACACATTTGATAGAACCCATTCGGGGTCACCCAAGTTGTCAAGGCACCAAACCTTGCGAAGGCTCCAAAGTCATGGATCGAAAGTCAGCGCAATATGATTATTTAGTGTAGACCCGTTTCAACCACATGAGTCGTCGTCTGTGAGTGTTTGAGCTCTATGCAGCTCGGTCGATTAAACTATCTTAAACGTGACATTTGCATGACACACTATAGTAATGCGAAGTTGTCATTATCACTCTCAAATAGGCATGGTTCTGCTCTCACTTTCCACAGCTATGTGAGCACAAGCATGGCGTTGAGCTCTTCACCAGCTCTTCACCGTTTGCCAAGGTGAGACCAATGACGAGTGCTGCGACAGAGCCTGCGGCGCAGCATTTCTTGAGGGCAGATTTGTTTGCGGCCAAAACCAGAAGGTTGGCGATCCCAACAAAGCAGGCGCAAGCTGGGCATGGCGATGTCGACTGCGCGTTTCCCGCCATTCCCTTGGTCAGGTTTTTCCTTGCCCTGTTGCACCACGTGTTTTTTCTCAAGCATGACTTCGTATAAGAAATTTGTCCGCTTTGTCGCTCTATGCTGTTCAGAGAACTTGAGCAGGTGAGACAGCATAGGTGACCATGAGTCTTTTTTTTCAAGATTTGTTTGAGCACACCTCCAGATTTCTCGGACATCTCACTGATCTAGTTTAGACTCCTAGAGGGCAGATGTTATCACGTGTAGCGCTGGTCTCCAAGTCTTGTGTTCGGCCATATCCCCCCTGTTTTTTGTCGCTTCCCCTTTTTTTCGGACTTTTCACGTGCTCAGAGCATATTCAGTTGTTTGAAACAAATCGTGGCTCTGTTGCGCTGAATTATTTCGATGTATTTAGATGTTTTCTGACATGGATAACGTTGTGAAAGCCTTCAGCTGCCGATTCTGGGTGCATGGCGCATCGGATTTTCTCGAGGGGTTGTCACCTACCCCCAGTTGCAGTCAGCGTGTCCACCCTTCACTCTTTCCACCCTTCTTCCAACCCAGTGCTTCTTCTTTTTGCGGAGGTTTAGTTTCCCTTTAAGTTCAACCAAAAGAACGGCACCCGGAAATTTACTAGTACTTCTGAGAACCGTTGGCGGTGATCGTGGCAGGGGAACCATTCTCGGCCTGGACTGGCAGTTTGAAGCGCTTAGACTTATTGGGATCTGAACATGTCCAGAATCCATAAATATGAGAACCGAACTTGTAAAGACATATGCAATGAAGGCATCAAATGAAGAGAATACCGGGAATGGACGAATATTATGTGCGTATGCGCGTGCATGCTCCAGTGGCTAATTTGCCAGGCACTACTGCAGGTGAGTGCTGCGAAGCTACCTGTGCAGCGCACGAATGCAGGGGTTTGTGGCACCTTGGTCTCGAAGGTTGAGAATCCAATGTAAGCAGGACCCCTGGCCGTCTTTCATCGGCGGGTGTCCCCTTCTGGTGATGGTTCGTCGCTTTTGGGGAAACACCCCCTATCAATAAGACGGGGTCAATCCGGCGGGAACATGAACCTTACACTTTTTGGGAAAATGTGTGTGTGTGTGTGTCCCAACAGCAAGCAGCTGAGCCATTTGTGCAGGCAATAGCGACAAAGACCGTACCAAAGTACTTGACAGTACTTGTTCAGCCCTTCGAGCCCTTGCACAGGGGCGACCAGGCATTCCATGGTTTTTTTAGATTTTTTCCATTTGCTTAAGAATATTGTTCATTTTCCGCTGTTGGTTTTAAAGGGAATCTATGACTACTGGAAATATTCTTATTTTTTCCAGGGGCTTAAGCAAATGAAAGAATTCCGCGGGCCAACCATCATCATGAGGCGCAGGGCTTTTGCGCTGGGGACCAGATTGGTCGTCTTTGCTCGGGGAATCCTAACTAAGTTCGGAGGAAAGCAAAAACAATCCTCTCGCTTGTGCAGAACAATCATGGGGCTGTGGGTCAAAACCAATGGTACCATTTTGGGGTAGGTGCACCACCCATGTTAGTCTGTTTCACTGAAGATTGGGATGTTAACTGGGGGTACGGGCTGTTGACCCATGGCCATGTGTGTGTGTGTGCGTAGCATGCGCAAGGACCCAGACTTCGAACTCGTTAAGCGAACAGATCACCCAACAATCGCTGGCTCACGCTGTGAACCAAGGGCTCCGGACAAGTCGAAGGCGAATTCCACTGGCAATTCCAGCGAAGCTTGCTGCCTGCCCACCTGCAGCCAGGCATCCGGATCGATCGATGCGTTTGGTTTGGGAAGATGGGCATAGGTCTTTTGGCTCCCACCTATCCGGTCCCTTAGCTTTTGAGATCTTATTAGTGTTTACTTAGATCCCCAGTTGCCTTTATTTTTCCAGCTACTTTGACCAAATCATGGGCTACTAGTGGGTAAAGTGGCTGGAAAAAAGTGGCTACTTGGGGTTCCAGGTAGTGGTTGGATGTTCACTTAACCCACCAAAAGTTCGTCACTATTAGCGGGGGCTCTGAAAACAGACAGCCCAGGTCTTCTTTCTGAACTTTGGCGGCATTCCGCTGCTTTTGCCTTTGAAGCCCCTTTTGGAGCCAAGCCCTAAGCCCGCCTCGACACCTGAACCCCCTCAACCCACCCCTGGAGGTTGCCCTATATGCCCCAGACCCATCCTCAGACGAAAAGCCACCCTGAACCGGCCCAAGCCTACCCTCAGCCACCCTGAACTCAACCCGAACCAGTCTACACCGCTCAAAACCGACCCTATACCTTGAACCTGCCTAAAACACCCCCCTACCCCAAACCAAGACTGCACCGACCCTAAACCCGCCTTCAACCCTCACCCCAATTCTCCCCTTGCAAACCCACGTAAGACGACCATATCCAGCGTTTCTGTTCTGTTCTCCCGCCTTGAGCCTCGACATTGGCACCAGGTGACATGCGATCCCGGCTTCACTTACAACGATCTCACCGTGGACCAGCCCGGCAGCACGAAGCAGGAGTGCTGCGTCAAGACCTGCGAGCTCTTCGAATGCCGTGGGCCCAGCTCAGCATTCCCAGATTGGCAAGCCCAAAACAAAAAAAAGTTCAATCAAGGAAAACTCAGAGCCCGAGTTGCGGGAGGAGAATAGTTTTTACGACGGTTGTCCTTGGTAAGCTCTGAAAGTTTGGACTTGTTTTTTCGTGTTAGATTGAGGAGTCCACCCTGCCCTGATCCGATCCAGGCGTAGCTTTAATACAATCAGTGGGCATAGGCTTCGGGAAAATGGTTGAATGACCCCCCGTCTCACAAGATGGTAGTGTTCCTTGGTTAGGTCAGGGAAATGACAAAGAGATTGTGGTTGTCCTTGGTTCGGTCGGAAACAATGGAACTGGGACTGGTGAGACGCTTTCTTAAGCCCGTGCGTGCATCTGATTGCAGTTGCTAGGGTGGGGCTCGCCGAGATGGAAGTTTTCCGTGCCCGTTGAGTGTTTCTTTCGCCAAGCTCTCAGGTTGGTGCTCGAAGCGTTTGGAAGCGAACAGGTGAGCTTCGAGTGGTGTGTTTTTGTTGGCAATTAGATGAGCCGGGAAGCACCAGACAAAGATTTTTCTTGCTCTCTCGCAAGGGTGAAGCAAGAAGCTAAAGTAGCAAGGCACCTGGAACGCAAGAATATGGCAGCAGCTGACAATGGAAGCCACCAGAAACGGATAGCGCGCCATCCACGTTATTGTCCATTGCTTATTCAAAATAGGAGATGTGACATGTGTGAAGATAGGGACTCCAAAGTGGTTCTCCTTTTGATTTACCTTCAACCTGAAGGTGGTAATTGCCTGCAAACCACATCCATTCGCCCATTGCTCATGATGGGGTTTCAAAAATGCTGAACCCCCTTCTGATTGGTATCTGATAGGAAACCAAAAGGAAACCAACCTTTTGAGGGCACCGATTCCTATGTTTCAGAAAGACACATAGGTGTGTCGGTTTTAAGGCTCAGTGCTTGTTTCAGGTTGGCTTAAAAGACACCAGGAAACCCGCAGCAGTTTTGGCCATCCAAACTCCGAGTGTTCTTGAGCAGTCCATTGGCGTCAATAGTACGAATGACTGTTTGGCAAGATTCAAGAAACCATCTCTACAGTGGATCCATTTACATTCGTATAGCCGGCAACCCAGGGACCACCCTTTCAAACCCAAAGGAAGATGGCTACTACAAGGGCTCTTCTGGGATCCCATTGGGATCGTTTGGAAAGCAGGGTTTCGGAATCAAGGGTTTATCCCCACTTCTGTGGTATCTTCGGGAATCTCCCCTTTTTGCTGGGTTAGTCTTTGGGAAGCCCTTAATTGTATCACAGTGGATTCCACTTCCCACAGCCCTAGCATGACTGCTGATCATTTTCCACATCTCCGAGGTGATGAGCAGCACGGGTGGGAGATCCCGGCGAAGAAGCGGCACCGCAAGGCGGACAAAGCTGACGACTGCTGCGAGCCACTTTGCCGACACCATGCGCCCTGGCCGAGGTTAAACTAGGACCCCCCTTTTGACTGGCTTGGAAACCGAAAGAAACACCGGCCATGAGTATTTCTAGGGTCCCTTTGAGAACATTCGATCGCAGTTTGGGTAGCAGTGCGATTGGATGAGTTCCAGCCAGTGGGTTCCCTTTGAACTCAGCCAATCCGTTTCCATGTAAATCCGCTTGAATAGCAGATCCGGTTGAGCGCAAACAACCTCCAGTGGCCTATTTTAGTAGGTTTTTACTAGTCGGTTTCATGGGGGGAGTATAGTAGGGCTATACACAGCTTCATAACAATCTTGGTAGAAGTAAAAGTCACTCGGTTGTGGGCACCCCTTCAGCTGCCCAATTCTTTCAGATCCAGTTGGCTCTTTTCCGTGCTGTTGATTTACAGACACGTCATGACATCCTTGTTTCGCTCGTCTCAGGAGTGCGGCGCTGGATGGTCCAAGGATGTCAGCAAGGACGACTTGTTTGAATCCTGTATGCATTTTGTAGTGCGGCAACCAGTTTGCAGCATGATATTGTTTTTCATGGTATGTCTCATGTGGATGTCTCCCCAAAATCGGTGGTTTCCCTTTGAGCTCCCAATAGAGCCCAGCTCAAACAAGGTGCCCTGAAAAAGGGCGACCCATTGATTCGAAGTTCTGACGGCATCAGATTGAGTTTGAACCTTCGGAAGCCGTTGGCGTAGAGAGGCAGGCTGAAGGAAATTGAAGGCTTGCTGCTGTGAGCATAGTCTTATAGTTGAGGTTGTCTCAAGATAGGTGACAACAAAGGTGTGTTTTGTTTTGGTTCTCCTTTTGAAAAAGGACGAACACCGTTCACAAATTGTAGCCTCAAACAGACACGCCCAGATCTCCTGGAATTGATGTCGTGATGTCAAACATGTTTGGGCATTCTGACTAATTACTGTAGAGCCTAGAAGCCTTCCTGACCACTGTGGATGGACGAAATCCCACCAAACAAGCACTGGGAATGATACTTTCCACGTAAATACCGACAAATCATGGTTTCAACCACGGTTTCGCAACCATCCATAACTTGCTTTCAGGGGGGTGGTTTGCTCTATCGCACCCCGTTGTAACCCCCGTTTGGCCCGCTGCTGCTGACCCGGTGGGAACCCGAGCAGGCGGGTTTTCTCCAGGGCGGCATATATATATATATATATATATATACACATGTATATATATATATATAGATGTGTATGTATGGCTGTGGGTCAAAAGCAGGTACCCAAAGTGGGTTGCCCTGGCAAATGGAAACATGGACTAAAACCTGCGGTCCCCGAGAGGTTTCATTTTGACCCACACCCGTATATACATATATATATATATATACCCCCTCCCTTCCACTAACATAGCACCTGCGGGAGGGTACCTGGAAGATCATTTCCCTCTTGTAGGGACCCCCTGTCAGGTGCCATGTTAGTGGGAGTCAGGATATATATAGAAAGAGGCACACAGAGTAGAGTTGACACCTTCAACTAGAAGAGGGCAAAGGTAGGCCCTGGGGGGGGGTGACCATATATATATATATGTCTAGTTGAGTTCAATGCAGAGTTGTCCATTCTCCAACTTCCCTCCTGTCAATGAAGACCCCCAGTAAAATGTCGATTGGGAGGTGTTAACAAGCACGCCATGAGTGGCCCAAATGGTTGTGTCTTTTTGTGGGTAGCCGTTTTAGGAAGGAAAAGCCACCAGTGTTGGGGTACTCTAGTAAGACCCGCCCAAGCAGAACCATGTGAGCGGTTGAGCCGTGCCACGTCCGTGTTCGTGGAACCGGCCGGGCACCAAGGACCCTTCCGATGAGACCTGCTGCTTGATGCAATGCCAACAAGTGCAATGCCCGGAGGGCTGGACGGCGGATCCCGCCGGGCACTCAGGGAGAGCTTTCTCTCAGTTGCCCAAAGCCGACCTTTTAACCTTTTGGTTTTCTCGTTTTGGTCCATCTTTAGACATGGTGCCAAAAGGTCAACCTTTTATTTCCGGGTCCTTTGGGCAACTGAGTTCTTTTTTTGTCGCCAGCCCAAAGGACACCGGTGCCATTTTGGGGGACTCATACGATTGTTTTTTAGATTTTGGGGTTGGCGAAATCTAGCTAGAACGTTTGGGAGTTGGAACCATTCAAAAGTAGTGGTTGGTGGACATAAATCGCCACGAATAATGTTCCAAAGGGTCGCTGATTCAGATGATGCACTGTTTCTTTACGCTCAGCAACAAACAAGACGCAAGTTGTTGTGAAGTTGTTGTGAGGTTGTTGTGACGTCCGGTGCTGAAAGTAAAGGGTTGCAAGTTTGATTTGCCATTCTTGGCTTTCATGCCTTCTATGAATGCAAATCAAAGTGGAACATGTGTCATCATGTGGATGAAGTGCTGAGCACATTGATTGATGATTGTAACCGAGGCAAAGCGTAATGAGATCAGCAGCTCGGAGGATTTTTGCTGCTTGCCGCCCTGCTCATCGCATAATTGCAGCATTGCTCCTTGGAGGCAGCATGTGATGTATGATATGTTCTAGATGATTGAATCATCATTGGTTCAAGACAGCACAGCATTGACCGCAAGCGCACAAAGTGAACAACAGCTTGTTCATGACTGTTTGTTTGTTTCTTGCAGATATATGACCACTCTAAGGCTGGTTATGCCAACGCTGGAGCTGGTGCCTTCGGTGACCTGCCTTAGCCAGGGAGTACAAGTGCGTGGGAGAACAGGCTTTCACATGTGATGGGCATGGTCGGTGCAGCATGACAGCACTCACTTCCAGAGTGGGCGTTCTACTTTTTTCGGGGAAGACCCATAGCAGAGAAGCAAATGGACTTGGCCAGTCCGAAGCCTGCGGCTTCTGTGCTTCGAACGTGTCGAACCTTCGATCTAAGGGTGGAAGTACCCCTTGGCTTTCGTGGTGTCCATCCCACTTTATAAGGGGTATACACCCCTTTCGGGGAGAGGATATGGTATGAACATCAGCAGGCCTTTCAGGGGTTCATTTGCCCTTTTGGGGTATGTAAAAGGGGTATGTACCTTGGCACCCCTGGCTATGAGGCTTGGCCGAGTCACACATGGCCATTGGGAACCGCCTCAGAAGTGATCCATGTCCGCCATTTCGGGTGGACCAAACAATTTGCAGACCCATAGCACCGCTGGATTCGAGCCTTCGAGCCTTCGAGCCTCGAGCCTTCAGGCCGGAGCAACGGCGAGTGCTGCCAGAAGACCTGCAGCCTCCACAGCTGCTCCAAGGGCCTTCGGGCGGTGGAGGGCCGCGCCGCGGCCGAACCGAAAAAGGCCGCGGCCGGGGTCCGATTTGTGGGCCGTAAGTTCCTTATAGAAGCCGTAATTAATGTTGACCCCGGATTAATTTGACAAACCCCAATTTTCTGTGTTGCTGTTCTTTTTTCGGGGTGTTACTCCTTGGGTTTAGTGGGGAATCCTCACTTTTGGAGGGAATAAGCAGAGGTTTTATTACTCCGGGGTCGATTCTAGGCGGGCTGTGTTCCTTGTGCTTTTTGCTCGTTCTCGAAGTTAGAAGCTGGTCCTTCGAACGGGTTTGGAGTCTATGGACTTCAGGGCGCCGCCGACTTTTTCAACAGTGGAAGCAGAAAGGGGGTTCCCCACTTTTGACGGCTCGATCCGTAGCTCACTTTCGCAGCTGGAAAAGGCGCTGCTTCTTTGTCCGCTCGAAACAGTGAGCCGACCCGCAAATGAAGCAGGACGGCGCGTCGCTGCAACAGCCTGGTTTTCCGTGTTGACTCGATCAAGGACTTCGGTCTCATCCTAGGCGTCCCTCCTAAAAGCACGCATGTGATTCGAGTCGAACCCAACTGAAATCGGCGGAATCCATCTATTCAAAGCTAACCCTGCTAAGCAAAGCAGAACTAACAAAAGAGGCAAAGGGAACTGTGAATGGAGAAATCCTGCCCCAGTTGGGAGGTGGTTTATCAGAGCTTTGATAGGGCTTCACCCATCCGAATTGTTGCGAAGCCAACAACTTTCGGCTGAGGATCTGCGCTTAGCCCCAGCGACGACGAGAGATGCTGCGAGCCCGAAGGCCAACGATTGTCAGAATCAGCCGGATGTTTTATTTGTCCCACCTTTCTCTGGGGTTCTGACTTTCAAGGGCAAGTTCGCCATGCTGCAGTCATTCAATTTATTGGGACCTTGCGCGCTTTAGGACTCACGTAGAGTGAGGACAGCTTGCTGGAGATGAGTGCGCCCAGAACTCTATGTACATGTTTCTCGGTTGCCCCTTTCTCGGTTTGGCCGGAGGCCTGTAGGCAACTCCCACCATGATTGGTCCACGGTTGGTTTAGGGACGACATGGGGGGACAACCCAAAGTTACCCAGACTATTTTTGGCGAAACCGTGGGACGGCCCAATTCGAACATATGGCTGTGGTTCAAAACCAATGGTACTGTGGATGGACGAAATCCTGCACCAGTTTGAAACCATGGTTCGTTGCTATTTACAGAGAAAACATGATTCCAGGGTTTCCTAGGTGGTGCAGGATTTCGTCCATCCACAGTAGGAGATGCTGGATTTTGACCCATGGCTATATTATTTTTAGAGAACAACAAATATCCGAAGGCCACGTGTCATGTCGGGCGCCACTCGAATCCCTCCGCAGGCTGCAGCAAGCTGCGGAGTCTCACAAAGCTGAGCGACGGCACCTGCAACTCGCTGTCCAAGGAGCTCGACGACATCGATTTGGGTGATGTGTTTGTTCTTGGTGGTTCCGAACCCATCCGGCTCCTTTGGTTTTCCGTTTTGAGTTGGTTTAGTGGTTGGGTGTCCGTATTTCAGCCAGAAGTTGAGACCAGTTTTTCGGGGCAACAGGTTCACCTTGGCAAGGGAAACCGCAAGGAAGACCAGCATGTCGGTTGCTTTGCTTGTGTTGACGCACCCACTTGCCTCCGCATGTGCGCTGCGCTGGTCGTTTTTGCTCCACAATCGATCGGCTCCAGCTCCTGCTGCTTGGCACTCCCAAGGCCATTGCCAGGCCGCGATATATGAGTTGAATGAATCGTTGGCGCATTTTGCTTGGATGTTAGGACTTCAACTTTTGCCAATTAACGGGTTTTCCATAGAACCATCAAAAGTTAAACTTTTAGCAGGGGAGCATAAAGCAACCGAGACATCTCCAGGCCAAAGCCCATGTTCCCTTTTTTTTTGGGAAGGGTTCCCCTTTAAAGTCAACCAACAAAAAAATGATTCCCTTTTTGCCATGGCCACTGGGCATCTGGGCGAGACACATGCTTTTGCGGCATGTGTGGCTCAACGGTTTTTTCTTTGTTTGGGTGATTGGGTAAAGATATAGAGAGTGTTGTTTGTTTCTCCTTTTTGCTGAGCCATACTGATGGAAGGTGCTGATTGCCAGTTGCTTGAGTTAGCGCGTGAGAGACGCAAGAAAAATCAGCCCACGGAGGAGGATTGTGACTCCCACTACTACGGCAGCTTTGCCAAGTCGGAGAACAAGACCATATGGGTCACTGCCCTAGTTGCGTTCGTGTCTCGCTCGCATCCTTCAACCTCTAACTTATTTGAGGGGTGTCATTTAGGATGATGATTTAATTGGTGGTGCTGACATGTTGTGGACTGGATGGTGCTGTTGCCCGTGCAGTGTCCAATCAGAGCCGTGGCTTCATTCCCAAAACTGCCTGTCAGCTCCTCTGCGGCGGCACCATTTGGGCGTGTCTTAAAATGAGGGAGCCCTGCAAAATGGGCAGTCTCCCAAAGAAATCATGGGGGCTGGGGGGAGGGTGAGGGAGCCCAAATAAGCCCTAAATAAGGCCTTATCAAATGCTTAACACGGGCTTATTTGGGCTCCCTCCCCCTCCCCTCCCTCGCCTTTGTCTTCGTCTTTTGCAGAAAAGAGCTGCAGGCGCCCTGCAGCTTCGACTTCGGCTACAACTTGTGCCGCCTTGGCACTGAGTTGGTGGGCTGTGCGGAGTGAGTGAGTGGCGTATGGCGCCCGTTTCACCTCCTGAGCTTTTGGCAGCGGTTGGTTGTGACCAGCTCCATGGAAGAGTTTGAGACCAAAAAAGCGTGGGATCCAGGACTTGCGCGTGCCACATGCTCAGGGCGCGGTGTTCAATGTGAATAAGTATCGCGCAGACAAAAGAGCACTCCTCCCTGCCGGGCTTGGAGTGGGCGCGGGCTCTGGCTACGAGCAGTTCAGCCTTTGCCCATGTTTTGGGGAAGTGGTTGCTGAGTGCCTTGATCCGTTCGTGTTTGCAATGCGTTCAAGACAGATTCAAGCTCACTAAAATTGCATGGGTCAAAATTAAGCCACCAGGATATGGACCGCAGGTTTTTTGTTTCCAGTTACCAGGGAACCATTTACGTATTACCCTATTTAGGACCCACACCCATATATGGCTAGACATTTTAATGGGGAACCACCTCAAAAGTGGTCGGTGGACATGAATCCCCACCGAATTCCGATGTCTACCATTTCGGGTCCCTACTTAAAATTCATACCCATGCGCATACTCATCGTTTCCATTTACCAGGGGGCAATTTGGCAATGGGTCAACATTAGACCACCAGGGGAACACAGATTTTAGTCCTTGGTTGCATTCTCCAGGGCAACCCATTTTGGGCCTTTTTGGTACCCATTTTCGACCCACACCCATTTAGGGGTTTCCCTATTTTGGACCCACATGGCCATAGGGCATAGCCTATGGCTCCATTTTTGGGGTGGATGAACATCCATTTGCCACCTATTTTGATGTTCACCAGGGGTACAGGGTTTTGACCCACAGCCACATGTCTCTCGCGGATCTAATCGACGCACGGTTTTTCTTTTCGCCGAGGCGCGGCCAATGTCTCCGAGACGGGCTCCGCAAGCTGGCGGTCTACGAGACCTCCTGGCTTCGGAACATGCAGTGCGACATATTTTTCCCCCTCGCCTTTAATACGACAAATATGGCCTTTGCCTCTCCTTTGGGCGTGTGTTTTGGCTTGTTTGGCCCAAGACCCGGCCTCTTCTTTTGTTCTTTTTGGTTGTTTGCTTGACCCAAGACCTTTTGGTGGAGGAAGGACACCGACCATTTTTAGTTGGAACCGCTCACGCAGTCACCTCAATGGCCGAACAGCCCTCGCCAAGCCCGCCACGCGAGGTACGATCTCGAAGGTGTGGCAAAGGCGTCGCTTCAGAAGCCACCATCGATGTTGAAATGCAGAAGATGCGCGCACATGAATGTGCGCAGAGATATATTCAGATATGATTGATGGTGTTGTTGCCTCCATCAGGCGAGATGTGCAGCGCAGTAGTACTGAGCTAATCTGCACCAAGATCCTTCTCTGTACGGAAGCAGGATGTTGGGTGCGATCTATGTTGCAATGTTGGAGATCCGCTGAATGTATTTGTGGCAGAGTTGTCACCTAGATAAAGGATTTGACCCGAACGTTTTTGGCCACGCAAGCTCATCGATGCCAGGCTTCAGAAGATTGTGATCCGGCAGGGTGCCAAGTTGCCCACTCCACGAGAGTTTGCAGGCCCTGCTTCGGGGCATAGCCCAGATTTGCTCGCCGCTGTGCGCTGTTGCTCGGGAGGCAGGTCGCTTGGCAGTGAACTGCAACGGAAGTTGAGGTTCAGGAGCTGCAAAACTTCATTGAGACTTCCATCAAGGAGGCTGGAAGCGACAATTCTGCTCACAGGACTGGAAAGTAGTCCAGTAGCTGCAGCCTCAACCATGTTTGCTTGGATCATGTTTAAAGGAGTGTGCCCCAGAAAAGGCAGACAAGCCAGCATGCTGATTTTCAGCAGAGAGCTGCTAGATGCTTGCCTGGTTCAGCTTGTGTCATAGGTGTTCGCAGCAAACCCGGCGTGCGTTTTCCGTGCTGGTTGTGGTTCTGGCACGCTCCCGTTGTGCCGGATCGGAACACGGATTGTCGATTCTTCGAGTTTCTCCAAGTTCTGAGAGTGTCCAACAGAGTAGGCTGTGGATGTAGCCGCGCCTGCCTGTTCAAGCCGCGTAGCCGAGCATCCAGCAAGGCACAATGGTGCAATGACGGTGTTTGCTTTCCAGTCCGTACAAAGCAGGAAGGCATTTAGTCTGGAGTCCAGCTGAGCCAGGTTTTTGGTGTGGTACCTTCTGAGGGTCCAAGTACTTGAGGAGCCCAAAAGAGGGTCATTTGGTACATCCTCACAAGGCATGCGGATCCGTTACCTGTGAAGTCGGAAACTTCAAGGGGGGTCCCAGCCTTTGAAAACCAAAAGGAAAATGGCGAAGGGTACGGTAGCTGGGATCCACTGAGGACCCTTAGGGGAGGCTAGCATGGCGATTCGCAGGCGGGTGAAGAGCGGCCACCTCTCGTGCGACTGGGTGCTGGGAGCTGAGAGAAAGGCTCCTGGGATACGTTGCGACCCTTTGTGGGGTTGCTTGAAAGGGACACCAAAGGGAGCACCAGTTTGGGGGGGGACCTTTTGGTTTGGCATAAACCCGTAGGCGCTTGAGACTGACTTGCGCTTCGGGCAATTCAAGCGGATCCATTGGCTTCAAAGTTTGAAGGCTGATCGCAGCACGCCCAGTCAACTTGCGGATTTCGAGCCCTCGCCTGAGACGCAAAAGACAAAACATGTAACATCAGCCTGTCCGTTGAATCAAGCTGAAAGTCCAAAGGAACGCAAAATTAGCCAGACATTTGTTATGCATCTAGGTCCCCCAGTAGTGCCCTTTCTCACCCCTTTTTTGGTTGGGAGGGTTCCCCTAGTAAAATAGACTACAGAAAATAAGGGTACCCTTATTCTAACCTCTCTACTGGAGGACCAAGGCATAGTTATGCGATACTGACGTGCCATTGCTTCGCGGAGTACACCTCCTTGCTTCTTGAATCAGTGATGCGGGCTCAACAGAGTAGCCGAGGACATGTAGCTAAACTGTACTTACGGACACGTATCCCGGGCCGCACTTCTTTGCAACACGAAGGAGCTGCTTAAACTGTCCTTGCAAGGATGTGTATTCAGTTGGTGATTGTCACAGGGATTATGCCCAATCACTTTGAAAGATCCACAATGGAGTTCCGACGATCGTTTGTTTCTTTCTGCAAAGAACAGTTTGTCTTCGCTACTTTCGAGCCGAAGCTGAGGAAGCGAACTTGCCGCTTGATTGTCGTGAACAAGTTGCCACTGTCTAGCTTTCATACTGAACGGTTGCGATTTTTGAACCAGGGTTTGCAGCCGTTTGCCGAGCTCCAATGTGTGTTTTGCGAAGTAGGCCGCTTGATACATGCAACGCAGCACACATGGCCAAAAGCCAATGGATTTTGTGTGCTGCTCAATCGGCCTCATGACTTGATCTTGAGGCAGCGCCCTTTCACCAGTTGGGCAAGGGCCGGGAGCCGTCGGGACCTTGGAAAGACTGAACTTGCCGGGCGGTGTCGGAGTGCCCAGAGCGAGCGAGCTCGCACGCCTTTTTTTGGGTTGGGACAGTTGGACATTGGGGGAGAACCCCAGGCAGTCTGAGGGAAGGTGGCATACTGCGCCTGGCAGCTCTTCACACTGGCTGGTCGTCCCTTTGACATGTTTGATGTCATATTCGCGAAGCAGGACCAAAACGAGGAATGAATTCATGTATTTGCTTCAAGTTGTTTTCCAGGGCTGATGCTTTGACGGCGTTGTTGTCCACCGTTTCTTTCCCTAAGGGTCCTTCGGGACCTTGTGAGGTACCAAATGAATCCAAGTGGCCATAAAAGTTGTTTGCCTCAGCACATCCCTTGGGTGCTTGGCGTCAGCCACTCAAAGGCGCAAGATGAGCCCGGAGTTGCAGCAGCTGATTCAGGCCATTCGCGACTTCGAATCCGTTTGAAATCGATGGGTGGTGGTTGAGCAACATTTCCTCTAGAGCGGGTGATTTGGGCGGTGCAGCAGTTCGATTGCATTGTGAATAATTAGTTATTGTCCACCAGTGCCAACGCCATCAATGTCAGGACTGGAGTTTCATCAATTTCGTTTCGATAGATTGTGAAGCCATGTGAAGCCCTTTGGAGAGAGCTGCACATTGGTCCCTTGAATTATTGGATCCCTTTAAGGGACTCCTTGCATCTTCCTCAGATTGGCACTCCTTGTTGAGCCATGGAAGAAGCGAACAACTAGGGTCCATTTAAGAAGACAGTCTCTCCAATTAGTCATTTTAGTTTGCATAGTTCAAGGCAAAGGCGTCTCATGGTATCCGTGTGGATCTCAGTTGCAATTGAAGGAGGCCATGGCCAGTCATGGTGCTTTTGATCTTGAGAGGGTGGTTCGCTTGGTTGCATACTATGCTGGTAATTACATGGATCCACTGGGTATAGTTGTTCAGCGCGTTTGTCGCTGAGCCCTTAGAGGACGTGTGGGAAGAAATGGAAGGTCCTCTCCGATCGAAATGAGGCACACATGCCACCATGAGCAGTTTGCACAATGCGCCCAGGAGTGGGTGCTACTCAAACAGGGGTCTCAAAACTATTTGTGGTTTTCGGGTAGTGGGGTAGGCTGCATATTTCAACACATAATCTGAACATACCTTATCTTTTTCTCTGTATCCTAGAGGTGGGCCAAGAAGTCTAACCTGTCTAACCTATCCCAGTCCAAAACTCGGGTGACAAGTTGTTTTGAGCTTCGGCGTGCCTAATTTGGAGAGAAGTGGAACATGTGAAAAGGGGAATGTGAGTATGGCACGGAACCAACTATTTGGGAAATGCCAAGAGGGCGAATTCAGATCATAGAGTGCCAGAGTGTGGTGTACTTGTCGGCCCGACAGAGCTTTCTTGGCGGCCTAGGTGCAGCAGCACATGCGGCAGCTCATGGACGATATGACGCCGGTGCTTTCCAGATTGCTGGAAGGCTCCTTCTGCGAGAGTGAAAAACAAAAAGCCGGATCCAATTTGGTGCCCTAAGCGAACCAAAAGGAGGTGGCTTGAACAACCGGTGTTTGAACATGGTCCAACATGGTTTACACGTGCGCTGAAAAA